GAGATACATTCTGCTACATTTTTTTGTGCATGGCATTAGATTATAAAAGATACATTGTATAATTTTGCCTGGAGAGTGATTTAATAATACTACTATAACATCATTTTGTTCCTGTGAGTGGAGATCTAGTATCTATGAATTGATATTATACTGCCCTATGAATTAGTAGGCACTATATACCTATATAATATACTTATATATATTTACAGGATACAACTAGTGGATATGCCTGCATACCTATCTAATTACTGATTTTTATCATTTTTCCTTTTTGGTTTATATTTTATCTTTATGAATTATAAAAGTTACGTTTTAATTCACTCTATATATACTTTTTTTGGTGGATAGACGGACTTCCTACCAATTATTCTAGAGATAATTTCTCTGGAATATTTTTTCTTCTTTTTTGCCTGTTTATTCTAGTAAGGGTTATCCCCTATAAGGTTGTCCCTGACACATTACTGTACTAGTTTTCACAACGTGATACTAGTCTTTCTTTGCTTTGCAAAGACGCATTTCACCTTCTTTCTTAAAATATATACAGGGATATTTACTAAAGTTAGAATTCAAAGTAAGATTTTGAAATTTAAGACCAGAGTAGCCAAAGTAAAAGCATTCCTGAATTTTTCTAGTTTGACCCTATATTAACCTTAGCTTTAAATTCACTGTCTTTTGTATTTAGATAAAAGCAAGTTTTATAGTTATGATGGCTTTCATAGTGCAATGTATGCACTACTGCAAAATTATGTTTCTATCATTAGGATCAGAGATGATGTTTTGGTGTTTACTTATTTTTATCATACATGAGCTATATCTATCAATTGATGAGAAAACTAAGAGGGTTATTCACCAAAGTGAGAAATCAAATTAAATGTAAAATAGATTTCAAATTTAAGGTCAAAATAATCAGACTTTAAAAAATTATTCAACTCAGCTATGCTTTCAAATCAGCTGCTTTGGCCTTAAATTTAAAATTCACTTATAATTACCACATTAGTGCATAACCCTTTAATAACTACACTGCATTTATGTTATATGGTGCCATATGTAACCAGCATATAAGCATTACTCTGAACACAAAATGTTAAAAAAAAAATGGAAAAAAAAACATTGCTCTGGAAATGTTCAACATTAAATGACAACACATAAAATCAAAATGATCACTTGGAATAATCTACAAACTACTTGCAATGTTAAAGGATTCAAAATAACAGTTCCATTTTCTGGCTCTTTAAAAAACAATAAAGAAACAAAACACAAAAAAAAAAAAAACATGTTAAGCTTGTAGGGTCATGATCACCAAGAAGACTACACTAGCATAATAGGTTTTCTTTATTATTGGTTACAAGTATGCCCTGGGGTAATATTTTATAATTACTTAGCTTTTAATAGAAAGCATCTCACTTGAGGTTCTTCAAAATATGACATGTTTGTGAGCTGTAAAAAAAAAAATATATATACCCTTCTTAAAATGAACATTCAATATAAACCATAAATATATACATACAAATACTTACACTTGTTCTTCATTAAAACCCTATTTTGTTCTATTATGATGTTAAATATTCTTTCAAAATAATTTATAAAGTACTGAAAGTGATTAAGAATTGATTAGTGTTATATGATATGCTAATAATAAGTATTTAGGGAGTGCTGTTCTGCAAGATTTATGAATCTGAAATGATTTGATGGTGTCACTGTAAGATGGAAAATACTGGCAGTAAAAGTTACACAACTAGAAAAAAATATGAATGTAAAAATAAAGTATACATTAAATTAAAAAAAAGGTATACATACAAACATTCCAACAGTAGATTTTACCTGAAATCTACTGTTGATGCAGTCTTGTCTCTCCAGTCTCAACAGCACATGGTGAATTTGTCAACCCCCCAAAATATCTGTCTAACCCAATGCTTCTCATAGAAAGAATTGAGGTTGAATGGCACATGTAGAACAGTGTAGAAGAGTGTTTCTATGAGAAGCACTCACTTCCAATATAAACTAGAGTTCAAAGTTAGTACTATTGGAAAGGCCTTCACAGGTTTCTGAATGACAGTTGGAAGTTGTTACTAAGGTGATTTATGAAAGAGCAGATACCTCTTGAAATTGTCACTTTTATAAAATAAAAATGCAGGGCTATGCAATTAACCTGAAATGCTTTAGACATTGGTGTTTCCCGTTCATAAAGTAGACCATTGTTAAAAGGATCATCCACACAGTTTCCCTGTCAACCAGCACTGATAACTGTGGCAACCTTTTTTATAAATGAGCTTTTGTTTTGTCATCAATGTTCATACAAGATTTTGTATGGTAATACACTTGTTTGCTTCCTCTTATTCTTTTATACACTTCTATCTTTTAGCTACTTTCATAAAAAACAATGGAGTTATTAAGCAACATCAATTTTCAAAGTGGTTTTTATTATTTGTAAAGATGTATTCTTCTCTCTCGAAAAGTGAAATTGCTACTGCGTGTTTAACAACATACACTACTGTGTATATGGACAAAAGTATTAGGACACAACTCTTAATTATTGACTTCAGGTGTTTCAATCAGACCCATTGCCACAGGGGTATAAAATGAAGCACCTAGCTATGCCGTCTATATTTACAAATGTGTGAAATAAATGGGTCATTCAGAAGAGCTCAGTGAATTTAAGCGTGGTACTGTAATAGGATGCCACCTTTGCAATAAGTCAGTTTGTCAAATTTAATTGTTATTGGAAAGTGGAAGTGTTTAGGAAGAGTAGCAATTCAGCAATGAAGCAGAAGACCATGAAGAATCACATAGAGGGGTCATCGAGTGCTGAAACGCATCGAGCATAAAAGTCACCAATGCTTTGTTGATTCCATTGCTGACGAGTTCCAGACTTCTAGTGGCATTAATATCAGTAATAAAAACTGTGTGATGGGAGCTTAATCCCTTAAGGACACATGACATGTGTGACATGTCATGATTCCCTTTTATTCCAGAAGTTTGGTCCTTAAGGGGTTAATGGCATGGGTTTCCACAGCCCGAGCAACTTCATGCCGGACATACATCACCAAGTACAATACCAAGCGTCGGATTGAGTGTTGTAAAGCATTTGGAATGACAAATCACGCTTCTCTGTTTGGCAGTCTGATGTGAGTCTGAGTTTGGTGGATTCAAGGAAAATGTTACCTGCCTGACTGCATTGTGGCAATTGGTAAGTTTGGTGGAGAATGGATAGTGGTATGAGGCTGTTTATCAGAGATTTAACTAGGCCCCTTACTTCCAGTGAAAGGAAATCTTAATATTTCAGCATACCAAGAAATTTGGGGTAAAGTTGTGCTTCCAACTTCATAAGAACAGTTTAAGGAAGGCCCATTTTTATTCCAGCATGTGCCCCAGTGCAAAGAGCAAGTTCCATAAAGACACGATTGGATACATTTGGTGTGGAGTAACTTGACTAGTTCACACAGAACCCTGACCTCAACCCCATCGAACACCACTGGGATGAACTGGAACAGAGATTTCTAGCCAGGCCTTCTCATCTGTCAGTGCCTGACCCCACAGACGTTCTACTGGATGAAGGGGCAAACATTCCCACAGAAACACTCCAACATCTTATGGAAAACCTTCTCAACAGAGTGGAACATGTTATAGCTGCAAAGTGGGGACCAACTACATATTAATGACTGTATTTGGAATGCAATGTCAAAAAAGTCCTTGTTGATGTAATGGACAAGTGCCCCAATACTTTTGTTAATGTATTTCATAAACCCTTGCTTGGTAGGAGTTCATAGCTCAGAACTCATTTATAAGCATTGGGAAGACTAGCATTGTATAGATCAGGGGTTCTCAACGTTAGTCCTCAGGACCCCCTACCAGTCCAGGGTTTAGGGATTACCTGGGTGTGTCTAAAGTGTTTAGAAAAAAAAACACCTTAGAGTCTAAGGTGTTTTTTTCCCTTTTTCTAAACACCTGAGACACACCCAGGTAATCCCCAAATCCTGGACTGGTAGGGGGTCCTGAGGACTGGGTTGAGAACCCCTGGTATAGATGCTTCAATTGTTTATTTTATTTTCAACTTTTTTTAAACAGACTGTCTAATTAATACATGAACAAAATAGAAAGCATTGCTGATGCTGAATGTCTCTAATATATTAAACTTACAAAGTTCACACTGTATCCTTTGTTTTATTGAAGGATTTTTGTATATAATATATTTTGCTGCTGAAGTTGGGGAATCAATAGTACATGGTCACTTTGTGATGGCTTACTTTCATTATAGATCTACATATGTTCACAAGTCTTTAATAATTATACTATCTTGTCCATAGGAAAATTATAACTAGAACATGTTCTGTACGTCTTGGGAAATTCTAATGTGCATGGTGTCTTTGACAGCATCACAGATAATTGGAATCTCGAGTCATGAGGTTATAATGGCCTAAAGTAACCACTGGGATAATTCCTCTAGCACTTGTTTGATATTTATAGCTGTACCTGCTGAAAGAGAAATAATATCTGCATTAGAACATACATTTGTTCTTACACATTCTAAAAATTTTTGTTGACATTTTCTAATTTATCAGAAACAGCAGTTAATAACCTGAAATTATTTTTGTCATTCTATTAAATGTACACTGCTATATTTTACCCAACTCAGATTTGCATACGAGACAAATACTCGGTTCTTTTTCATGGTAAATATTTTGAAATTTAAAGAAGAACAAAGACATCATTATTTATTATGTCATGATAACAATAACCATGCAATAAAAAACTTTAAAAGGAAATTCTAAATTCAAGGCCTTTATAATTGCACAATATGACACATGTGCTTAAGAGGGCTTTTCAAGCATATTAATTCACAAATAATTATCTTCTCTGTGTTCCTACATGCCTCTTGTTGGAGTGTTTTTATTTAAATCAGAAATATAGAAAACATGTTTCAAATAAATGTTCTATATGTTAATACATGAATGTTCTTGACATATTTACATAAACAAGTCAGATCCAGGACAGATCTACCCCAACAATGCATTTAATCAAAGTTATGAGATTTTACTGCAAATTAGTTTCTTAAAATATAAGATGCCTTATTGCTTTTGTTACATCCATGGCATATCACTGATTTAATGAGCTTGCTTCCCATAAAGCTGTGACATCATAAAAGTTGCAGTTCTAAGAAGAGTATTGTGATTGATTTTGAACAGAGTCACAGTGGAAGGCCACCTGGGAGACCCACTGTGGAGTGGAGTATCAGTAAAAAGAGTTTGATTCATTTTAAAATCAAGCTTATTTAATAACAATTCTTATGTTAATATTTTCATAATCAACTAGTTAATAGTTATACTAATAGTTAGATACTGCATGTATTTCACAGTATAGTAATTTTACATAACACAATATATTACTTTGTATTAATGTGATCTAGTCACAGTATTCATCAATTGATTACAGAATAGGAAATTCCCCAGCAAATAAGCCAATTCTATTATATATTAACACACACAAAACACACACACATTGATGGCTTCATTTTCAAAATGCAAAATAATAAAGCATTTTTTATTAATCTATAAATAAGAATCAGATCCCCACATACATCGCCTCTCATTCCTATAATCAGTGTAGAGATGATGTCTGCCTCTTGTGCTGCAATGCCCAAAACAAAAAATCTAAGCATAAATGCAAAACATTTTATTATCCTCTATAGGAGGCAAGAGAGTTTACGCAAGAATAAATAAATACCATAACCAGAAGTACATGGAAATTACAACTGTATAAAACGAATTACTGAAAATAAATAAGCAGTAGGCGTTCTTGTTTTTACCTAACACTTATTTTCCAGCTAATGCCAAGTTCAGGCTCCACCTTTTCTTAACATTCCTACAAACATTAAAAAACATCTTTATTGGACTGATATTGATGTTTGCATGTCTGTTGCACGTAGTTAGCCTAGCCAGCTCTGGAAAAGGTGAGAGAGAAAAAAAAATATCATGCACGTTTTTCGTCTGGATTACAGGGAGCAAGTGTTGAATTGCTGAATAAAAAGACCAGAATCTGTCCATAGTTCTGAAGATAAGGGAGCTGAAGCCGGTATACTAGAGCAATTGCTGTCCAGGGTCCTGAAGCCGATGGACCAAAGCAGTTGATGCTGAAGTTGATGGACTAGAGTAGTAGCTGTCCGGGGTTTCAGAAGCCGAGAGAAGATATAGAAGCAGCCCAGCGATTTGAAGAGGCTTAACTGTTGTGATTAGAGAGGGAGCTGTCGTAGGTCCTGAAGCTGACCGACTCGTCTAGTTCAGAGCAGTAGTAGGGTTCTCTAAGGTTCTGAAGACGACGGAAAGGAAGGTTGCCAGTCTGAGCGTTCCTAGGTTCGGAAGCTAAACAGAGCAGAGGCTATCCAGGCACTGAAGCTGAGACTGTGTATCACGTCTGGGCTCTGCTCTTCTCTATACGTTCTCCCTGGCCTTGTAGCGCAGTGGTAGCTCCCAATCTGCTATGCATGTAAGCGTTCGAGCTGGAAGCCCAGGGATTGGACGTCCTTCTCATTCAGTCTGCGTCCTGTCTTGATTCCGAAGCAGCTTCTACAATACACAGAGCTGCTGCGGGTGGATTGCTTTAATAGTAAGGGAGCGCTCACGTTCCTGTACTGGAGGACTTTAGAGGGGAAGAGGTGCCCTGTTGTAGATTGTGCTATGGGATATCATTGTGCTGTTCAACTCCTGGAACACTAAACGTGGCAGAGAGAGGGGCAGGCGGTTAGAAGTTACCGCATAGAATTGCAGTAGTGAACCTGCAGGACTATCTGGTAATATTTTTATATCTATATCTCCTAAATAGTGTTTGTGATTAAATCATTTTTTATTTTATTTATGTTACCCTTAGATCAGACTGTGCAGGTGTTTTATATTGCAATTCACATTCATTGGTATGTGCAGCTTTGCAACTTCATGTGCACTGTCAGTTCGGAGTTGCCTTTAATGAGTGGGAAAGGGGGTGGGGGTTATGAGCACTTTAGAACTCAAGAGTTGTATGTGTTTAAGTATTTTCATTTGATGTCAGTTCTTCTTATTGGTGTCTTTCACTGTGATGATCAAATGAGCTTCCATTATGATTTATTGCCTTCTAGATCAGATCTAATGTGCTTGGATTTCTGCACATTGTAGAGGGCTGTGCATGTGCTATGCAATACTATGGGCAGCATTTGTGGTGAATTGGAATACAGTTAGCTGTATTCCAAATGTAATGGGGGGATGCTGTTTTGCATCATTGCAGCAGGAGGCAATAATGGACAGCATTACTCGATCTGTTTGGAAAGCATAATAAACATGTAAGTGCTTCAACTGCATATTGTCCATTATGATTGAGCTGCTGCTAAATTGCACTTAATCATAAATCTAGGACTCCAAAAGTGGGCAGGAACGATTCTGCTTAGTGGTCATGATATTGCTAAAACAGTGTAGAACATTTGTTAACATCATGCCGACACGCTATTAGATCAACAGGAGTATGTAACCCTTTAGTGACAAGAATCTGTGTGCACAAAACAACGTGATCTAAGTTGCCTGGAAGCATGAGTTTTGGAGGTAATTTATATTCATAGTAGCAGTCTATGAAGGCATAGTAACACGTGTAGATCATCAATTGACAAATTTAAAATGCATTAATAAATATTTAGTAGAACACACACTTTTCTAAATTTATATTACTGACAACTCTAGCAAAGAAAACACAAAATGAACTGTCAATAAGTAATGACAGACTGGTATCGTTTAAAACAAATCAATCCTGTTTACAGTGGAAAAAAAATGTGTTAACTAAGGCATTATTGATTTTGTCAAACAGCTTCTGCACAGTCCATCCAGCGAATTTAGAAGGCCATGCATTCTTTTCAAATCATTTGTGTTGGTTTTGGTATTAAACACACACACTGAAGGTGAACATTGCTACATACCAATTTCACTGTAATATACTAGTATGTTGGCTGATGGCCATGAATTTGCCAGAGTACTTTTAGTGCATGTTTAAGAACTTCAAAAATTGGATGATACTATATCCAAGTAAAGCAATTTTGTTAGACTGTGCAACTTTTCCACTGTTCTGTTTATGTTTCTTAGCAACTGATCTGAGTAATATTTAGCATATCTGTAGACAAATGTTCACAAATATAGTTTTGTGTTGATTCATCAGTTATATTTGACTTGTGTTCTGTAATTACATACTGAACTATCAGCTCTTTGGCCTGACTTTTAGCTTTTCAGAATCTATGAAATAAAACAGATTCATGATTTCTTGTACTGCTGATAGGTTGAGTTAGACCTCCATTAAAAAAGAATATTGCATAAAGTCATCAGTTTTCTAAAATAACTTAATTATGACTGACTTTAGACATTTTCATGGTTCTTCTATTTAATGGTGTAATGAACATACAATTCTGCTACATTACTTCATAAAGAACATACTTCATTAAGTTGTATTCATACTCATAGCCATTTACTTCTAGATATACACATTATATATATATATATATATATATTTTTTACTTTTTCTGCTGTATACAGGCCCAGTTGTCGCCGACCACAAACAATTTAGTAACAATATCAACCACTCATTTTTATAATTCAGTATTTTAAGGTCCTTTCCAATCTGTATTTGTATATTATTATAACACTTTTTTTTTCTGTTTCATGACAAGCTTCAACTGAATGTAAACAGACTGTCCAAATTATACCCTCTTTCTGTGCTAGACTTCAAATAGTAATTCAACTGCATGGTTTATTAGCTTATGTATATGAGATACCTATTGTTCATATTCTCATTGGTTACTTTTTTGAAAACAAAAATTGCATTAACAGCTCAAAAATGAAATATATGACTGTGCAACAATATTTAAAGAATTTAGACATGGTCAATATATTTAATTGTTAGTCCTATAATAACAGTGGAGATGATAAGTCATCTTTATGACTTTGGTTGTGGTAGGAAGTTGATGCCTGATCTTGGAAACAGCAAACCTCAGCCAGTGTTATACATACCAATGTTTACATAGAAATGTGTGATTAACAGACCATATTGATGATAGAGTTCAGATCCATTTAAGCTTTCCATAAGGTCACTTGGTTAAACAAGCACTTTTTACAATAGTAGTGCAGAGGGCCTTTCAGATTACACAGTTTATATATGTATTAAGGCCGTTTGGCCTGTAATTGTGGGAGGGGCATGTACTTTACCTACTTAAAGAGAACCCTTACCTTACTCCACCCCGTCCGTGGTCTAGCGATTTGCATGTGACTACTTCCGGGTCACATGCGGGTTGCCATTTTGTTGTTTCTTCACGTGGTTCTTAGCGTAGGACACTGAACCCGGCCATGCTGGGACATCAGGTGCCTGACGCAGCATCTCCCCCACCAACTCTGATACTCCATCGGTAAATGATCCAGTGGTAAGTGACCCGACTTGTGATGTTACCAACCACAGACCTCACTGTGTTACCACATGTCCGCTGATCGCCGCTGTTCCATAATTTACAGCGGGTACCTCTGCCCCCCTGCAGGTTCAGGATAAGCTCCCTGGAGTTTAATATAGCCTGTCATCGGCATTTAGCCTTGGAGAGGTAGGCGAACCTTTCCATCACTCGCTTCCTGATCTTCACGATCAGCTTACCTAGATGTACACTAAGGAATGTCTGTGTTTTAAAACTCCTGCGCTTTCCTAATCTAAATGATCAGCTTGATTGTAAGTAATATAGATGGCTAAAAGCCAGCATTTATCAGCACTTCATATTACTTTAACCTACTAGGGCATGAGTAATGTCACAGCATACTCTGGTACAAATCAACTTGGTTATATAGCTTGTTTCAATTCAAATCGCTACAAAGTGTACTGTATCAATGGTTACTGTATAAAGTCTAATCCAGGCATTTATCACATGATAACTTTCTGCTCCGTTTTCTGTCATATAATTACTTTATTTTGTTAATATATCTGAGGCAGTTCTACTCTTAGCTAAATATTATCTAGGTGGGTACATGGTATATATTTTCATTATAGGACCTGGTGCTTATTGCTTTACGTTTAACTACTTGCTGGGAAGTTGTCTGATCTTAGTTGCGAACAAGGTTAATTTGTAATGATAACATGCAATCTAATCTTTTGACAACAATAATTAAAAAAATGTAAATAAATAAAAATATAGTGATTTACATAAACATTTTCTCATGACCTCTCCCTCCC